CTCATAAGTCGATTAACTTTGGCTAGATATTGATATAGTTTTCTGTACATTTTACTTGTTTTTATATGTAGATCAATATGTGACACTTGAATAAAATAGTTTATTAGATTATTATTATATTATATTTTGAGGTTTACCCATTTACGACAAGACAGTGGTCGCTTAACACGAGGGGACGAAAAAAGATATCTTGGTGGAGGGGAGAAAAAAAAAGCGGGGGGGGGGTGCGTCAGCGTGGAAGAAATATCGTCTCTTGCAATTTTAATTGAAGAGTAAACGAATGACTAAGTCTTTGATTTAAACATATTGTCCAAATGAGTACAAGGGATTTGGCACAAGTTATTGCAACTTACGAAGCCATCTCCTATCAACACTTCAATAACAAGTGGTTACATAGACAGTTACAAATAGTATAAGTAATGGTAGGAAGTCAAAAACTACTTTCACTGGACCTAAGAAAAGTTTGCAGGTGTCTAAATAAATTACAATTATCATCCAAAGCTAGGTTTTTGTCACCAAACAGTAGTAAACTCAAACTTATTTGCATATTTATAGTGTTAATGTATTGGCACAGTACGGTACCAGCATTCCTATAAGATTGGCACTCAAAGAAGAAATGATAGACATTTTCACAACGGTGACCACAATTCGAACAGTTTGAATCTTGAACCAAGTTTACACGGAATAGATCATATCTAAGAGAACTACATTAATGTCTAAGTCTTGTATGTAAAATATTTTGTTCCTGTCGCCATATGTCTAGTAACTAGGTTAACCTGTAAGTATATTGGGGGTTAAAGCTAATTTAAACGATTTAAAAGACGATAGTGGCAATGATTTGACAGTATCATCTTTAAGTATTCCAGGTTTTTATAGAAGAAGGCAAGATGGAAATGTTTGTAAGAGAAAGTCTGAAGTTTGAAATTCTATAGTTATCTTTATTTCTGAGAGTATATCTATCATTGTCTCCAACTAAGGGGGTGGGGAATGCCGACAGAACACCGACTTCCGTCAGTGAGATGAAACCCGTAAGGGCGGATTCATGTAGGCGCTAAACCCTTCAACCAACCAATCAACCAACTAAGGGGTAAATAAATGTGAGAGATAATTTGGAGTATGCTGTCTATTCACTTTGTATAATAATTAAAGTTTCCTTCTTGCTCTCCAATCAGAATGGCTAAGTCTATGGATTTAACAGCAATTTTTTTAATATTTTTTTTTTCGCTTTTTGTCAGATTATTTAATATTTTAGCAAACATAATCACTATACCATGACCGTTTCCATTACATGGAATGAAGATAAGCTACATGTATATCTATTTAATTACACGGCCTATTTTCTCTCCCTCAGTTCAAGTGATATGATGTAAAAATATTTTGAAACAATAGAAACCACGGTGGTTCGTTATACATGTAGCATCTAATGTATTGTATGCAAATGACTAGTTAATAACAGCCTTTTCAGGCAAAATCATTAAGTAAACAGGCAAAACCGATACAAATTGTAACATTTTTCAAGTGTTTTTCAAAACCGTGCACATTTTTGCACTGTTCGTTCAACATGACAAGAGAGGTAATTTTTACCACTCCAGTTTGGAGACATTTAACAATTATTTTACCCAATAGGTCATGTCAGCTATTTGTCGTGAAACTAACGCAGATATACTGTTAAAAGAATATAGCCGAACTCTCTACCATAAAGTAGAGATACGTGCTTCAGTTTTTGTAAGAAAAAACTATCAAGTCTCAAATTTGGGAAAACGCAGTTACTGTGTTTAGACAGACAGTGATTTCAACATAATGTAAACGGCAATCTAATACTTGTATTGGAGTGTATTACGTAACTACAAGTCTAATTTTAATTAGTGTATTGTGTACCTTGTGTCTGACGTCCGTCCACACACAAACTCCTCTATAGATACTGTGTTCTGTCTTAAGTGTGTGCTCTTCTTTGTTGGTTTCAACCAAAGCATTCTTGAAAGGAAGAGTTGTAATACGCCGAACCTCGCCAGATCCGAATATATTTGGGTGCTTCTTTGTCGTGTGCCACTCTGGTATTAGCTTCTTATTACTTTATTTCCAATCAGTTAGATTAAAATATATTTACCGTTTCTTTATCATGTTATAAGAGGAATTATCAATACCACTTGTGTATTTTGTAATACATTTATATCTATTTTATTATTTATTATTTTTTATAATTTCCTACTCGTATGGTTCAAGCTGTAGTGCTAAGTTAGCAATAGTACAATGTCTTGTTTTATGTCAAATGTCTTTATATTCTGTAATATTATAATATCCATTACACATTATTGAATATTCATATGTTTAAAGTTATATTGTAGAATTATAACATTAATGTTTTCTGTCTGGCAATTATATGTTGGTGTAATTTGGTGAAACGATGTGGTTGTTATCATCATTCATTAACACACACACACACATACCCAATAGTATTTGTTATGTTGACTACAGGGGCCTGATAATTTGTTACAGCTATATTTTGACCTAAACGAATGTGTTCATAGTAATTCTCCATGTTCTAGGGGTTTAGACCGACTTTCGGTAAAACTGACACCGATTATATATAATCATTGGGGGTGTCATTTTTTCGAAAGTCGACATAAACCCTTAAAACATGTACAATAACTCTGAACACCTTATTTTAGGTCCAAATATAGCTGTAACAAATTCTCAGGTCCCTGTGATGTGGACTGGTAGGGTCACCGCTCATCCTCGATATCCAGGGGTTACGCTTACTTTCGCTAAGTGATACATGGGTCCCGCTAAACGTCTGCAATGTTGCTAGTCACGGGTGGTCGGGTGGCGCAGTGGATAGCGCACTTGCCTTTCACCAAGACGACCAGGGTTCGATTCCCCGATTGGACGGGAAAAGGTTTGGGGTCACTTGTCCGACTACGTTTGTTTTTGTCCGTGTACTCCGGTGAATCCCACACTAAGACCCCTCGCGCGCTAACATCTGGGCCAACAAAAATGATTTATATAAATTGAAATAACTTGTTTCTTAATTGTTGTAAAATCAATAAAGATTTTATATATATATATATATTTATTGGTAGTCACGACAGTACTATAACCACGTCCCACCGCAGAGAGACAGACAATAGTTACCAGCAAGACGTGTATTGTAAATCACTGCCTTATGGTATTCTCACTGTTTATATCCAAGATGACACAAGAGTGTCAGAGACTGGACAGTTTTTAGTGACCAGGGCCCGTATTTATGAATCTGTTATCATGCTCATTCTGTGCTCGAGCCAACTTTCTTGAAACTCGCTTCAATCATGTAACACGGTCAAATTAGCCAGTGTCACTATTCCATAGAATTGACAAAATATGTGTGTTTTTATTAATCTATCGCGGAAACAAAATGCCTCGGTCACACACGGGAGGGTAGTCTCGTGCGGAGAGTTACTACCTCTTGGGGCCCACACCTGAACATTCACAGTATAAACCATTTTGTAGGAGGAAAATGGAGATCAGACGAATATATTATTATACAATTTTTTTTAAATGAGGAAAATTCTATAAAACATACACGGTATAACCTCATAAAGGTGTTATCAATTCAATGTATTTATCTCTTTAGTTTTTATGTTAAATCTGTGAAGACGACCTGACCAGTGAACAAGATATCTCCGTCTCGTATTTATTTCTACAACTTTGTTCGCCATTTCTATCTTAACTCTTGGTAATACCTACCTCTTCCCTTTCCTCTCAGTAAATGGTGATATATCTACCATTTATTTTAAATTTCCGTCAGAAATATTACACTGATTGACACGTAGAAAGCACTATGGCTATTTAATTTATTGCAAAACTTTGTGATATTTCTATTTCTTATAAATAAATATCACCGGCAAAATTTAATTTTTAAAGCATCAGAATATAAAGAACACACAAACGTAACCTGTCAAATAAATATTAATATTGCAACCAGTTTAATCATATGAATATATGTGGACCATGTGTTAATTTAAACGATATTGTATTGGCCTTTTAACACGTCACGGTGACAGAATTTCATTAAAATCGAGATTCCATGTAAAGTCAAACATGCACACTTTAAGGACCGATACAAATTGTAATTCCATATGATGTCGGATAGCGAATCCAACACCCTGTGGAAATTATCGGTCGGATTTCACAGGTTTCACTCTACCCTTACTCACGCTTGAAGTTCAATGTAGAAGTGTGGTGTATATTAAGTTATCAGGGATCGAAAATAGGAAATACAATTTATTTAAAAATTACAATACCCTTTTTTGGTTAGTGTGAAAGTCACAAACATTTAACAAATTATGAAAGTTAAACAGTCATTAACACATAGGTATTATTCTGTGTATAACCATGGAATTTGCTGGCTACTGACAAACATATATATCACCAAGAATAATCGTTCTATCACACGTTTGACCAATTTTAATAGAGGTGTTATTTGAAATTTTGCTAAAGAAAAATAAATGATGCGAAAATAATTTGTTTATATCGTTGTACCGTTACCTTTAATTAGGTGCGTACGTCTCTTGTATACCTGTGACTTTGATAAGTTTATCTAGAGAGTACATTACATAGCAGCGTTTCGCTGTTCCCTATTGTAGTTTTAATGACCTCTTTAAAGTTATTTTACATTTGAATTATCACCGAAATAGGCTGACCAGTGACCTATACAAATAGCCATTATTGTCCCTCCCCCTCTTCTTTGAAAGACTTATTTTTGTTTAATTGACTTAGTGTTCCAGTAAATGCGTTGAACCCCGTCGATAGTTCCAAACATTTAACTAAAATTAGGATGCATGTGTAAATTAAATATATATAAAACGTGACATAATGTTGCATATTTTAGCATTTCACATACATCAAAACACATGAGCATTTTAACCGCAGATGATAAATGAAAGTATACTGCGACGATAAAAAAAATATGTTAACATTTTGGTGGGGAGGTGAAAGGAACAGCCCATTGTGTGTGCGTTAAAGATTTCTCTGGTCGCTGTGCCAGAACGTGTGTGTGTAGCGAAGGAATACATGCATTAGTTTGTATTCACAATCATGAATTCAGTCGTGTACGGATGGAGAAATTTACCAACATGATTTTATTTATTGTGACTTTATTGACTTTCATATTTCATGGAGAAACATTTGGTAAGTAAATGTCAGAGAAAACACCGACTGTTCGTATGTATGTCAAGCTACAGTAGGTTACCGTGCGTCGGCCATAGGCCGAAAATTGTTATTGAGTTGCGAACGATTTTCTTTTGGTTTTCGAACAAATTCATTGATAACAATATAAAAGAGCACTTGTCACAGGGGACTGTCATGTGTATTTGTTGTGACATTTCTTCTGTCTGTCGTGAACATAAATTAACCATGTGATTTAAGTGTGTGTATTAGGAGACATGAGCTTTAAAAACCAATGTCATTTCACTCCTGTGTGTAGAGCCGGTTCAGTTTAACGTTGCTGTTTTGCTGCAGATTCGGTTTTAGGTCAGTGTAGAGATTATCATGATCTGTTTCAATTAAAGTCGATGTTCTGGTACTTTTTCAGCCCTTCCCTCCCACTGTTGCAGTAAAGCGACTGATGATGAATGTAGAACTGCTTGTTCTCGGGTGAGTAGACACTTATCACATAGGTCGGTGTATCAATATCAATATTTTGTATTATAAATATATTTACCCTGTGATAAACAAACCTGTCCTAAAATTGGTCGATTTCATCAGATTGGAGATGTACCTATAGCTATCAGGAAAAGGATTTTAACAGTTGCTATTTTAGTGAACAGATACTTAATTTATCTGGTGTCGTTATATTTTTTATATCCCTTTGTATATATAAGTATAGGAGACCCCTATTTTTTTATATTACAAGTAAAGCGATCCATGCCCCTGTGGGTAGGTTGTAATAGTATAGCTACTGACTGATTGATCCAGGATTTACAATGTCAATATATGACATGCACAAATACATATTTATATGATCGGAAGATTCTAGGCAGAGATCTATATGACAAATCGGTGTAGATACCTGTTTCGGAGAGGGTCTGTGTTCGGTATGGAACCCTGGACAAGATTATCCAGAAATAAATAATTTAGAGCATTGTGCTGTAATGACTGTCTAATTTTCTATGAGGTCACAATTAATTTCAAAGTTTTCACCAGATTGACCATGACTATCCCTTTCTTACTGACCCAATCTTTTATATATAGAGAGTCAAATAGCTGCCTCGATAGAGGGGAATACGTTTATATAAATACCCTTCCAAGACCAGGACAGTATCCCACAGAAGAAACGATAACTCTCCCAGAAAGGGCTGTCATCTCCGTGGGTACCCTACAGAATTGGTGTATATAGCACTATATATATAGAAACAGTTCAAGAAAGGGCCATCATCTCTATGGGTACTTTCAGAATTGGTGTATATAGCACTATATATATAGAAACAGTCCTGGAAAGGGTTTTTATCACCATAGATACGTCGCCTATATGTACAAGGAATGGTCAGGTGCCAAAGTGGATAGCACACTTGTCTTTTGCCAAGATGGTCAGGCCGGGTTCCATTTCCCAGTCAGATGTAAAATGGTGGGGGTATGGTCAATCGCAGTCCTCTTTCTCCCATAATAAGACAAATACAATTCATTCTTATTAAATTTAATGAAGAAAATGTTTAGAAATGTATTAAGACTTGCTCTTCCATCCGAATCAACAAGAGGGGGTATCTTTAGTTCACAGCTTTCCCCTGTACTAGCCCCTCCCAGAAGGGGCCCATTCTATTCCTATAGATACTATCCCAGAAAGGGCCACAGATACCTCTCTCAAAGTAGGTCTTTTTTGTTAAAATGCCAGTTCCAGAATTAATTTGTGATCTAATTATAGAACTCATCACAGAAAAATTCTGTATCTATTTACTATGGATACTACCTAATTGTAATCATATCAATCACTATGTGTTTCCACTGAATTTTAGATTTCGGGTGTAAACGTTTGCTAAATTGATTCATTTTAAATTTTGGGGGTATATTTCTTTCATTTTCAAGATTTTGTACCCCTATGTCGTTAAAATTTAGTATAATTGTGCATTCCTTGAAACGTGGGGGCACAATCAATTGTTTTAGGGGTAAAAAATGATCATTTGGGGGTTTCTTGGATATTAAAACTTGTTTTCCTGCAGGGGTTCATTATGGATTACTTTCTCAGAATACCTGTTCAGTGATAATTGAGGTCCTTATTTTACTAGGAGCTGTGTATATTTTGTAATAAGGTCCCTAGTGTTATTTCACTAGGTGTTCAATTTGATATGCTGAAGTCTCGCTAAACTTTATAAAACATTCATAACTAATGTTATGCAGAGAGTTAAATATGCATAGATATATATGTCACTCAAGCCTGGAGAACTTGCCTAACTAGATAAGGTTGAAAATAGATGTTGTTTGGAATTCTGATCAAAACGATTCATGCACATATTATCGGCACATAGTTTTGACACTTGATACAGCTTTAATAAGATGTGAATATGAAATTTCTCATAGTTCTTATCAATACTTGATTACTGATTATTATTTTGGTTCTTTGTATAATGATGGGGTTTTGAATTCTTATCAGTGCAGGTAGTCTTAAAATTTTCATCATGATAATGTGACGTTCATGTGCTGGGTACAGTATATGCAATCAGAAATGTTATTTTCCTGGTGCATTTGGGAATTTCCACCAAGATGTATTGCTGCTTTCAGGCAGAAAATTTGCGCTGTAGCAGATCATCTCAGAATAACTTTTTTCCATCTTTAATTCTTTTTTCTGAATAATATATAATAGGAGTAAAAATCCACTAGCTGAGGAAAATAAAAAAATTGTATTTAAATACTTTTTTTTAATCAAATTTGGAAAAACAATTTTAAAACTCTTGAAGTCAATGTCAGATTCTAGTAAAAATACTACATGTTACTCTATAGTAAATTAGGATTTGATTTTAATTGATTTAATCTCATTTGAAATCAGGTAGAATGGCTTTGATTATATTGTTGTAAGGAGGAACACAACTGTTTAAATAAAAACCACTGGACATTACTGTAACAAAACTAAGAGGAAACTGGACCTGGATATAATTAATAACAGAAAACAGATATACAGCCCTTGTCACTCATACGAATTATTTAATTAGATATGCACATATTTTCTGAGTGTAGACTTGGTCATTAAATTCTGCTTCCTTGCTGTAAGTGTCATGACAGTGTGTATAACTGGGATGAAATTAGACTGCTGTCTATCATAAATCATTACCACAGGTACAGTAGGGGCCTTATATTATATACCGTACACAGTTAGGTACACAACTTAAAGTTTACACCATGCCCTGAATTAACTTTCATTCAATTAATTAAAACCATATTTGATGACCCAATGAGTGCACCTGCCTATATATATGGGTCTTAAGGTAACTCTATGCACTGAATTAATTTACATTATTTTGTAACTGTATATAATGACCTAACAATTAAGTACAACCACCCATTAAAAAAAGGAAAATTGAAATAAGTAGAAAGTAAAGTTAATAGATGTATATAATGAATCTTTAAGAAAGATGGACTGATATTCTAAATATGTGAAATTTAGTATTGAAAAATGTGAAAATGTGTAAAATGTGAAATCGTAATTTTAATGAGCATAATTAGATTTAGTGTGCTTTAATTAGTTACCTGTAGATATTCTAAATATGTGAAATTTAGTATAGAAAAATGTGAATTATTTTTTAAGTATGTGTAAAATGTTAAATCATAATTTAAAAAGCATAAAAAAATGTGTGTGCTTTAATTAGATTTCTGCAATCATCACTACTTGTTCGTATGATCTGAGTATAGTTCTGACAAAACATTTTTAGTCCTATAGTACTATACCAGATAAACAACAATTAATTTCCAAGCCACTGGCATGGCACCATATGTATGGTTATAATGTATAGTAGTAAATATTTAACGTATACATGACTATAACTATATATTTATTTAAATAATTTATAAATATTTACACATTTTATATTGTACAGTATTTTATGTAAGTTTTCATATGTTGCGGCTAAGATTTAAGTAAAATATTACATTATGAAGGTAAGACATACAGTATATTATATACATGTATTCAAAAAAATGTCCAGTGACAGTGTCGTCACCACGTGGGTGGACCAAATCATGGTCACATGACGTCATGTTTACAAATCAAGGAAACGATTCTTACATCTATGTGGTATCATATGTAGACAGGATTAGGTTTTGGCTGGTAAAAAAACGCGATTGTGTTTCTGTTGACAAAAAAAAATTGTATGTATTCTTTCCCTGTGTTTTTTTACGGCAATAAAGTTAACAAAAAATGCAGTTAATACATGTTGTTTTATTGAATATAGCTATAATACATGTATGCAAATTTAGCCCAGCTATACAGAAGCTATTTTAGCATAATCATTTCAGGTTTTTGAGCTTCTACAAAATGCAAAAGGTTGTGTTTCTAAGAACAAAATAAATACGGCACATCTGAAAATGGATTGTAAAAATATGACTAAGGAGGCCATGTTGTGTATTATAGCCGAGGTAGACAGATGGCCCAGTCAAGATGGGGGATTTATAACACTGGCTACAATATCGGCAGAATATAATTGAAGCATGGTTAGAGGATGTACAGGGAATATTGTTTTTTATACTATGTATGCATTAGAACGGCACCAAGCTGGATGAAGTAAAACCCATTAGTGAAAATAGCCTGTACGGTGTATGGTGTATGTAAAATTACTTAAATATTATTGGCAAATTTCTAGCATCTTCGGGTAAAACGGGAATTACAAATGTTACTTCGTAATTTCACCCTGTGAATATAAACTGGCCAACTTTAAACCCTTAATACTTTCAGTAACAATTGTTTTATATAAATTGCTTTTAAGCCCAATTGGAATTCCATTTTTTGGCAATAAATTCTTCGTAACTTTTTGTATATATATATGTTACATATACCGAATTGTTGTATTAAAGAGGAACTTTAAAGTATAGAAGATATATCTGATAACAGATTTTGATGAAGCATAATACATTGTTTATTCCGTTAATAAATGTCAATTTCTATTTCTTAATTCTTTCGTTTATTATCGTAGAGTGTCGTGTAGACACTTTATTGTTGATAAAACATGTCACATTGTATCCTAATTCTATTTTGTAGGTAATTTTTTTGTAAGGAAGCAATTTTCTTTTTCAATTATATTTAATGTTTATATATTCCACGCTATAACTGATATGTATTATACCTCCGTTTAATACCGAAATAGATTCTCCATTTTTATAGTTTATGTCAATTCATCACTGCGATAACGCATACAGGCATCCCTGTAGCTAAAAGCCCTATCTAATGGAGTAAGTGTTATCATCATTACTCCCGTTCTGTGATGCACATAGAAGGATGATAAAACAATTTTCGGCTTGGTAGATTTTCAGTAGCCCCCTTTATATCCGAACAACCCACCAACACCTACATTTATGTAGGCAATTTTTGCCCAGGTAATATTTGATTCTCCTTGCCGGTGTGCAAAAACTTCCCCTGATCCCATTCAACTATACCTGAGCCTGTGAGGTGTACA